GTGGCGCTGTAGCTCAAGTGGTAGAGTGCTCGCCTTGAGCTGAAGAGCTGAGGGACAGCGCTCAGGCCCAGAGTTCAAGCCCCATGACCGACAAAAAAAAAAAAGAATGACATATATATTCTTTGTATCTGTGTGTTGTATATATGTATGTTTCTTTACTATTGTGTCCTTGTTCTAGCCCAATCTAAGGTTATCTTTACTTTAAAACTGTCTAGTGATATTTATGATTATAGTTACCTTTACATTTTTGTTTTCGTTAGTCTGTTTGAAGTGATGTATCCCAATTCCCAGGGCTGGTGAGACTCAAACCCACAATCGGCAAAAGGAGTCACCAGCACTCAAACTGGCTGGAAGCTTTTTATTAGCCATGTGGTGACTGTCTCCAGCTTGCAGAGCTTTGGAGAAAAGTCCTGTTTGCTTTTACTTTTTTTGGGGGGGGGTTGGTTGTGGGGCTTGAATTCTGGGCTTGGTGCTGTCCCTGCGCTTTTCAGCTCAAGGCTAGTTTACTGCTTGAGCCACAGTGCCACTTATGGTTTCCTAGTGGTTTATTGGAGATAAGAGTCTCATAGACTTTCCTGCCCAGGCTGGCTTTGAACTGTGATCCTCAGATCTTAGCCTTCTGAGTAGCTAGGATTGCTTTTCATGGGGGATTTTTATAGGAAGAGGTTTCACATAGGTGATATTTACCAAAGCAAACAAGCAAGGTTACAGAAACAAAACATAGCCCTGTCACAAGAGCATAGGCAAAACAATCTTAGTTGCTCAGCCTGACTGATACTATCAATGCTATTGACACTATTGATACGTGTTTATAGAAAGTCAAAACATATCCTTGTATTATAGAAGTCAAAACATAACCTTGGGTAGGAGTAATCTTATTTTACAGAAATGATTTTTATTATAAGCTCCTGACTAACTCAGCAGTTGATGATAAGCCTCAAGGTTGTCTGTGGCTTTGATTAAAGTTTGTGGAAAACTGCAAAGCTGCCAGCTTGGTAAACTTGAGTGAGAGAGAAAAATGATCTTTTGCTTTTTATCAAGGATGGAAAATGCTTAGGCTACTACTGGCCAGTTCTCTTTACAGAGGGGTTTTCCCTTTAATATTTGGCCCTGTTTTTAATAATTATGTTGTTCTGTTTTCTGATTTCACATGTTACAGAAGTATTTTGAAATTTCAAGCTTTAAAGAAAAGTTTTATATGACTAGAATAAATAAGCTGATTTTAATATGTGAATTAGAAAATTAAGTCATTTCATAACAGTGCTTACTGGACTTGTATCTTTATTTCTTATATGAGGAAATTATGATCTGAAGATTCCTTAAGTCACATGGTTAGAAAGTTAGACAGTCTCTCCTGTGAAGTCTACCCAGATAGAAATATTTGGTTTTAAAAAGCCTTCAAATATGTTGAAATACTTAGCCTTCTAAATTCCTAGGCAGTATTAGGCCATTTGCCTTTTGTGTAAATAGCAGCTTGAATACTGAGTAACTGAACCATCTATATACTTAATTCAAGTTTTCTTAATAACTCCTGCTCACTTACATAGTTTACTTAAGGAATTACAACCTAAGTCTTAGCTGCATAATCTGAACGGTTTTTAAAATCTTTTAATTGTGAAAATACTGTACAGAGGGGTTACAATTACATGGGAGTTTTTAAAATCTTGATCGATTATTTTAGGAACTAAATGAAGCAGGAATGGTAGACATAGCATCTTATAGAAATGTGTGTGTTTCTATTTGTTTTTAGTGTCAAATATTGCACGATTCTCTTCAATAACGTAGATCATCTTTTACTGAATTTAACACTGTCTGATATCATGGTCTCCTTGGCAAATGCGTCAACTTTGCAGAAAGATTCCAATTGGATAGAAATGATAAGGAAATTTGTGACAGAGACCCTTGAAGATGGCTCTAAGCTAAATAGTAAGCAGCTAAACAGATTGCTTGGAGTATCTTGGAGGTTAATGCAGATACAATCAAACAGAGGTAGGTGATGCTGTTTTGCCCTTACTTAAGGAGCTTGCTTTTTAGGGTCTAGCTTTGAAATAGTGGCTTCCATCAGTCTGTATAGTTACGTTAATACATTAAGGCCATAGAAGGTGGCTGGCCAAAATGTTTATAAAATACTGTCTGCTTCAGCACTGAAATTGCTTATGGCTCAGCATTTTCCTTTTTGGGAGTAGAGCTATTCTGAAGTGATTTGGTAAAGATTTCTACTACCTTACACTAGTTGGAATAGGAATTGAGAGCTTTTTCCTCTGGTAATTGTAGAATGAGTTCTGCTTGTCTCTACCTTTTTTTCTTGCTTGAGGTTAAGTTCCATTGTCACTTTCTGTAGTGACTTAGTACTAATCCTTCTCATTTACAAAGCATTCCTGTTTGGTTCCCATCCAGTTCACCTTTCTATAATGCCTTGGTTTTTGTCATCCTTAGGTTTGTTAATCTAAAAGTTTCACTTGTTAGACATGCTTGGATTTTGATAGAAATCTTGAATTTCTGGTTACGCTTTGATTTGCCATAGAACAAAATAAAAATACTTTTAGAGGAATTTGGGGGCTATTGAAGTCAGCTTTTTATATGCAGAGTTTTCTTTCTGTTTGTAGAAGCTACAGAGACTCTGATTAAGGCAGTTTATACATTGTATCAGCAGAGGGGCCTTATTCTTCCAGTTCGGACTTTGTTACTGAAGTTTTTCAGTAAAATCTACCAGAAAGAAGAACTGCGATCTTACAGACTCAGGTAAAGTTTCAATTGTTAGTTTTCCTGTTTTTCGTTTTGAGTTTTATACTTGGTGGTCTTGGTGATTGATCTCAGGGCCTTGTATAAGCTAGGCAAATATTCTTCTAGTGAACTGCATCCTCAGCCTTATGGTCGATTTAAATTAGATGATAGAGTGATCAAATCTTTGGAGAAAGTTTCTCTTTATCTATTTCCTTGACAATAAACTTAAATTAAAGAAATGTCATACGTAATTGTATCAACATATTGTATACTTTAGCATATATTTCTATTTATCCACTTGTAGCTAAAGAATAGAACAACTTTTTCTTTTCCTTTCCACAAAAATTATGAAGATTGTAGCCAGGTGCTGATGGCTTGTTTTGGAATTTTAGCTATTTAGGAGGCTGAGATCTAGAGAGTCAAAGGTTGAAGTCAGCCCAAGAAGAAAACTGTGATTCTCCATCTCCATTTAACCAGCAAGATGATAGAACTTGTAGGTGTACCTTAAATGGTAGAGTACGAGCCAAGAATGCAAGCAGAGTGAGGAGGGCTTAAGGCTCTGAGTTTAAGTTTCATTACCTGTAAAAAAACAAAAAAACCCAAAATCCTAAAGTATGGACTTTGCATCACGAGTCTTTTTTTTTTTGTCGGTCGTGGGGCCTGAACTCTGGGCCTGGGCGCTGTCCCTCAGCTCTTTAGCTCAAGGCGAGTGCTCTACCACTTGAGCCACAGCACCACTTCTGGCTTTTTCTGCTTATGTGGTGCTGAGGAATCGAACCCAGGGCCTCATGCATGCAAGGTAAGCACTCTACCACTAAGCCACCTTCCCAGCCCCTGCATCACAAGTCTTTAGTGATATATTGGGGAATTGGTCTACAGTGAGGGCAGCATAGAACATAGAAAAGTTTATGGTTTAGTTTGGTACTGTCAGATGTAACTTAAGGAATAACTTTTTGGTATGAGTTTGAATTTTTTTGGGATAATCAGAAAGTTTTATTGGTGGAAAACAGAGATTAGGGATACTTGAATATGTGTGGGTAGTTGTTGGAACATTATTTTTACTGTAAGCTAAGTGATTTTTTAAAAGTAATCTCACTGATTCCAATACTACTTCTATGAAATGGAAACTATTAGTGTTATTTTATAGAAGGAAACCAAAGCTTCTTTATTTAATACATGAAATAAGCCGACAAGTATTATTGTAGGGTTTCTCATAGCTGAGACTTAAGTTTAGGTCTGCCTGATAGTGTTTAAAGCACTAAGTTCTTAGGTTAGCAAAAAATGTTTGATGTTACTCAAGACATTGGAGCTGGGCTGGGAAGGTGGCTCAGTGGTAGAGCGCTTGCCTTGCATGTCTGAGGCCCTGGGTTCAATTCCTCAGCACCACATAAGCAAAAACAAAAAGCCGGAAGTGGCGCTGTGGCTCAAGTGGTAGACTGCTAGCCTAAAGCTGAAGAGCTGAGGGACAGTGCCCAGGCCCCACAACTGGACCCCCCCCCAAAAAAAAAAGACATTGGAGCTTAAAGCAAATATCCAAACAAATGAAATAATAATACAAGTTTGAAAACATACTATATGAGAGTAATGTATACCAAACACATCAGTGTCTTACATATATAGTATATATAGTATTGTTAACCTTAATTAGGATAAACAGCTCACAAAGAGTTACATATTAAATATATGTATATATGTATACACTAGTTACATTTATTGGAGTAAAAGTTTCAGTTTAAATTTATTTCCATTGTCATTTTAAATCACATGTTATTCTGATTTTCCTTGGTGTTTTTAAGAAATCGCAGTAGAGTCTTATCCCGTTGGCTGGCTGGTTTACCACTGCAACTCTCTAATCTTGGCTCCCGAAACCCTGAGCTTTCGACTCAGTTGATTGATATCATTCATACTGCTGCAGCCCGAGCAAATAAAGAATTGCTAAAAAGTTTACAAGCTACTGCTCTCCAAATCTATGGTAAGATTTTTTTAGATGCATAAGTAGTTATTGGTCTGTTCAAAAATTATGAAGATATTCTTAAGGGGAATTCTTTTTTATTTACCTTTCCTTTAGTCCAAAATAAGTATGCCATGGCTAAATTGTTCAAACAAAACATCAAACAGTAAACTTACTTTCTGTATTAAAACAGTTATGGAGGGTTAATGGTTGTAGATGTTTTTGCATTTTGAAATGAACTTTGAAACCACGTATTAGTTACACATTCAAAATTAAGAAGGTCCTTAAATTTCTTTGAAGCTTTGATGGAAAGATTTGTTAGTTGTTTAATCATAATATTTTGTATCGATTACTTCATTCATCTCTGGAACTGATAATCCATTTAATATTTTAAGCAAAAATATAAATAAAACCTTATTGGATTATACATGTATATCATATTATTGACATAAAACTTACATACTATAAAATCTATCATTTTACAATCTTAGTTACGTGTTTTTAAATTAATTCCTAAAGTTCTACAACAATAACTATTGTGTAAATTCTTTTTTTTTTTTGGTCCAGTCGTGGGGCCTGAACTCTGGGCCTGGGCACTGTCCCTCAGCTCTTCAGCTCAAGGCTAGCACTCTACCACTTGAGCCACAACGCCACTTCCGGCTTTTTTCTTTTTGCTTATGTGGTGCTGAGGAATCAAACCCAGGGCCTCGAGCATGCAAGGCAAGTGCTCTACCACTGAGCCACCTTCCCAGCCCAATTCTTGAACATTTTCATCACTTCTAAGAGAATCACTATTCTCATTAGTTATTCCTTAGTATATATTTAGTCCTTGTTAATCGCTAATCTGCTTCTGTCGATATAGATTTGCCTATTCTGAGTATCTCTTATAAATGGAATGATCTTAAATGAGGCCTTGGTATCTAGCCTTTTTCCTTTAGCATCTATTTTCAAGGAGTTCTGTGTTGTAGTAGATGTGGACACCTTATTCCTTCTTATTGCTAAGTGTCCTCTGGGATTGATAGGCCACTTGTATTTATCCATTGACCAGTGGACAAGAGGATGGCTTCCTACTTTTGTGGAATACATTTTTTTTGTGCCAATGTGGGACTTGAAGAATTTCGGCTAGGCACTGTCCCTGAGCTTTTGTGCTCAAGGTTAGCACTCTACCCCTTGAGCCACACCTCGACTTCCAGCTTTTTATGGTTAATTGGAGATAAGAGTCTTACCAAGTTTTCTGTCTGGACTGGCTTTGAACCACAGGTCTTAGCTTCCTGAGGAGCTATGATATTCAAAAAAAAAAATTTTTTTTTGCCAGTCCTGGGGCTTGAACTCAGGGCCTGGGCACTGGCCCTGAGCTTCTTTTTTGCTCAAGGCTAGCACTTACCACTTGAGTCACAGTGCCACTTCCGGCTTTTTTTGTTTATATGGTACTGAGGAATTGAACCCAGGGCTTCATGCATGTTAGGCAAGCACTCTTCCACTAAGCCACATTCCCAGCCTTGAGGAGCTATGATGACAGGCATGAGCCACTGGCACGTAGCTGTATTTTTAAATCTTTTTTCTTTTTAATTTTTATTGTGAAAATACCATACAGAGAGGTTGCAATTACATGAGCAAGGTAATGGGTACATTTGTTATCAAGCACTGTTGTCTCCTACTTTGTCTCCCCTTCCCATCTCATCTCCACCCCCCCCTTGCCAAAATTGTAGTTTGTTTTTCAGTATAATGTACATCTCAATTGTTGCAATGGGTTCACCTGTATCCCTATTTAAACAATTTGTTTTTTCCCTTCCCCTCCCCAAACTATACCAACGTTAAATATAGTGAAAACAGGGGTTATACTCTCTCTCTCTCTCTCTCTCTCTCTCTCTCTCTCTCTATATATATATATATATATAATTTTTTTTTTTGTCTGTTGTGGGGCTTGAACTCTGGGCTTAGGCGCCGTCCCTGTGCTGTTCAGCTCAAGATGAGCACTCTGCGGCTTGAGCCACAGTGCCACTTCCGGTTTTCTAGTGGTTTATTGGAGATAAGAGTCTCATGGACTTTCCTGCCCGGGCTGGCTTTGAACCATGATTGTCAGATCTCAGCCTCCAGAGTAGCTAGGATTACAAGCATGAGCCACCAGCACCTGGCTTATACTCTATATTTTTAAATCTTTAAAAATACTGTGTGCATGCATACATAAGCACGCATGCATGTGCACATAGCTGTGTCTATTGAGATAAATACCCAGAATGAGTAAGCAAGTGGTTTATGTCACAGTAAGTTAATTCTGTAATTGTGATTGCTTGTTTTTCAGTTACTCTTTGTGCCCAATCCTTTTTCATCCTTATCATAGTTCTCATTTCCCTTAAGGACCTTAGATATTGTGAAATTATTGCAGTGTTAAATTATTAAGTATAACATTCAGTATTTCTCTTGAGCAAATAGCATAGCAAGTCATACATGTATACTTTAAACACTTGTGTATGTGATTGCAGTTGAATTTCATGTGTTTACTCTCCCCACTAGATCCCCAAGAAGGCACCATGGTGGTACTCCCTACAGAGTCTCAGCAACGTTTGGTGCAGCTCGTGTATTTTCTACCCAGTCTACATGCTGATTTGCTTTCTCAGTTAAGCCGTTGCTGTATTATGGGAAGACTCAGTGCAAGTTTGGCTGTCACGCTTATTGGGATACTACATATGAGGTATACTGCTCAATTGAGCTGTATTTTAAGTGTACCTGAGATCTTTTCTCCTTCTTACTGGAAGTTGAAATATAAAAGTTGGCTTTTAAAATGTGAGGCATTGTTACTGTCTTCATTTACTACTTTTTCTTTCTTTTTTTTTGCCAGTTATGGGGCCTGAACTCAGGGCCTGGGTGCTCAAGGCTAGCACTCTACCACTTTCAGCCACAGTGCCTTCTGGTTTTCTGATGGTTAATTGGGGATAAGAGTCTCAAGGACTTTCCGGTCCTGGCTGGCTTTGAACTTTGATTCTCAGATTTTAGCCTCTTGAGTACAGGTCTAAGTCACCTGAAACTGGCTTTCATTTACTTCTAATGCACTAATCAGAATCAGTTAAAATCTTTACTAGCTGGAGAAAGTTTGGTGTATAGTAAGACTTTTCTAGCTTAATAAACTAATTTACTATTTATATATTTACTAGAATGTAATAAAGATTGGAATTGAATCATAAAAAGCTTATAGGTGACTGTACTCTGTTTAAAATCCCAAATGTTATAAAATCTTTTTTATGTATGTTTAACAGATTTTACCATTGGCCATTGTGAATAATGCTCTTGCCAATTTTGGTGTATAAATACCTTTTTTGAAATGCTACTTTCAAAATATCTGGCTATATATCCAGATGTGCCATTGCTAGATTGTATGGAAATAATTTTTTTTGCTTTGTTTTGTTTTTTGTTCTGGTCTTAGGGCTTAAACTCAGGCCCTGGGTGCTCTCCCTGAGCATTTTTGCTCAAGGGTAGTTCTCTACCACTTTGAGCCTTAGGTATACTTTGAATTTTAGGTGGTTAATTGGAGATGAGTCTCCTGTCCAGGCTGGCTGTGAACCACGATTCTCAGATATTAGTTTCCTTGTATTATAGGCATGAGCCACTAGTGCCTAGCTACACCAGCATTTTTCTGGTTAATTGGGGATGATGTTTTCTGCCCAGGCTGGCTCTGTAATGAGATCCTCTGATTTGGATTACCTAGTAAGATTACAGGTGTGAGCCACTGTCACCTGGTTTGTATTTTGTTTTTGAGATAGGGCCTCCCTAACTTTGCCTAGGCTATCCTCAAATTTGTATCTTCTTTTATTATTATTATTATTATTATTATTTTGGGGGGGGGTCCGGTCATGGGGCCTGAACTCTGGGCCTGGGCACTGTCCCTCAGCTCTTTAGCTCAAGGCTAGCGCTCTACCATTTGAGCCACAGCACCACTTCCGACTTTTTTCTTTTTGCTTATGTGGTGCTGAGGAATCAAACCCAGGGCCTCAATGCATGCGAGGCAAGCGCTCTACCACTGAGCTACCTTCCCAGCCCCTCAAATTTGTATCTTCTTGTCACTGCCAACTAGCTGAGATAACAAGTGTGTCCTATGAAGTTTAGTGCTTAATTCTTTTACTGCTGTTTTGGCAAACATAAAGCGTAAGTGAGGAAAGGAAATTTATAATGTTGAGTAAAATGTTTGAGGAAGAACAAATTGCTTGGACTAAAAAAAAAAAAAAAAGACTTCTGCCAGGTGCCAGTGACTCATGCCTGTTCTAACACTAGCTTCAGGAGGCCGAGATCTGAGGGTCATGGTTCCAACTACCCTCTTCTGCCATCAATCCCCCTACCTCACCCCCTCCCCCCCCAAAACAAACTAAAAAACAACAGCATCAGCCTTGAGCGAAAGAAGCTCAGGGACAGTGCCCAGGCCCTGGGTTCAAGCCTTGGGTTTTAGGCAGGGTGAAATATCTAGCCTCATCTGCTAAAATCAATTTCAGTTTCCTTCTTGTGTGATTAATGGTAATAACCTCTCTCAGAAGTGTACTGGCTTGGACAGTAATATTTAGTTATCATAACTCAAATAGCTGATGTATTACTTGTCATATTTCCGATTCTTCTAAATGAGTTTACTACTTTTAGCCTCTGGGTGGCACAATTGCTTGCTATATTTACTATGTTTAAGAGGATGTTTTCATTTCCTCATTTAAAAATTTAATAAATACAAATACAATTAACGGTGATGAAAAATTAAGTGTAAAAATTTATTAAGGTAAAATTCTAATTTCACTTGACATTTACTTTGCTGTCTGATAAAATTTGTAATTTCATCTTATTGAAGCTAATCATTGTTTGCATTTTTGCTCTATCCATGTTGGCATGTGCTGTCTCTAGGTTTGTGGTAAAGGACTTTTTAAAGGAGTTACTAGTAACTAATCTCATAGCAGATAATTCTTATTTAATGAGAAGCTATTGTTGTTTAGCTATTTCCTTTAGTCCTCTGCCAATGGTAAGTAAGACCTAGTTATAGCTTTACTAAGAATGGGAGCAATAAGTTGTCATACAGTGGCTTTAAAGATGAGGTTTCCCCCACCCCAAATACTTTTGCTTATGTAGGTAGGAAGCTGGAATGGACTAAATTTGAACTAATATGCTGAGAATAAGATTTTCTTAAAAAACTAAATAGTGCTGGGTGCCGGTGACTCCTTTACTCCTAGCTATGCAGGAAACTGAGATCTGAGGATCATTTTTATAATCCATCCAAGGCAGAGAAATCCACAAGATCTCCAAATAAGCAGCAGAAAGGCAGAGAAATCCACAAGATCTCCAAATAAGCAGCAGAAAGCCTGAACCAGAGACATGACTCAAGTGGTAGACTTGCCGGCCATGAACTAAATAAAAAAGCTGAGCAAGTATGTGAGATTCTTGAGTTCAATTGTAAAAAATACCAAAAAGACATTAAACCCCAAAACAAGAATAACAAAATTAAATAGCAAATATGTAGTGATAGAACTTACTAAAAAGAATATCATACTTAGTTCCTTAAAGTCTTAATTTGAAATGGGGTTGTAATTTTCTACCCCAAACATAGATCAAATATGCTTTTTAAATAAAACTTCACATAAATTTATACATTAGAATTGCTAATTTTTATATTACAGTACTTAAGTTTTTATATATGAAGTTAAAGCAATATATACACTACAGTGTTTTGTTTCAAGCTATTGAATCTGACTTGTTTTTGGTAAAGGAAAAAGGTGAGACTCAGGTATAACTCAGTAGTCGAACACATAGAAGTCCTGGCTTCGATCTAGATCAAATCTCCCCACCCCTACAAAACAGAAGATAAACAAACTTCTGATAATAGTTCTTCCATTGTTTACTGTAGATCGTCATTTTCTGGATGGAAGCATTCACTTAAAGACTGGTTGTTAAGTGATATGGACTATCTCAGCTTCTTATTTTCTACACTTGCAGGTAACCTCATTTACTTGTTAGGTTCAAAGAAAAGAACCTAGTATGATCAAGATCTGTCTTAGAATTATTTTTATTATGTAATATTTGTGCCCTGAATTTTGTTAGGTTACTGAGGCAGTGTGATACATGATTTCTCTTTAAATTTCTCATTAAAAAGTGTCAGAGACTTGAGAATTATTATGATTATATTTTAATTTTCTCTCTTTTCCATTATCATTGTTTATTGTTAATTGTATTTATTTAGCCCCTTTTGTAATAGCAGAGAAAATTTCATTGCTGTGATTTTAAAAAGTTGATCAACAAAACACGCATTTTAAACACCTTAAAATGTTCAACTTGATATATTAATAACATTGGATTTGATTTGCTCTGCATTCCAGATGTTCTTAAAGTTGGAAAATTAGATGTTATTAGTTAAATTAGATATATTGCTAGTTAGATAAGTAGTATGACTATTGTCTTAAATGGTTGTATTATTTCAACATTTTCATTTTATATTTGGATAATGATGATGAGAGTTTTGAAATTAGAGTTAGTATATATGATGTCAGAATTAAAAACAAGCTTTATATGACATTGACTCTAGAAAGATAAATATTTAAAAAATAAATGTAAATTTCTTTTTGTTGATATTGTTGGATGAACATGCTGCATTTAGGAGGGATTTATGTTGTAATAATAATTAACCTGACAGGGCTGGGAAGGTGGCTCAGTGGTAGAGCACTTGCCTTGCATGCTCAAGGCCCTGGGTTCGATTCCTCAGCACCACTTAAGTAAAAAGCCCGAAGTGGCACTGTGGCTCAAGTGGTAGAGTGCTAGCCTTGAGCTGAAGAGCTGAGGGACAGTGCCCAGGCCCAGAGTTCAGGCCCCACGACCGTAAAAAAAAAAAATTAACCTGACAAAAAGTTTTCAGTGGCTTAAGAAAGCCCATTAGTGGTCAATACTGTTATTATGTGGCTGTTGAACTAGATAATGTCTCTTTAGGCTGATTTATGTAAGTGTAGTGATTGGGACATTAAAGCAGACAGCTAGGTCGGGCCATATCAGTAGTATATGATAATTCGGAGAGACTGTAGCTTGTTGTCTGTACATGTGGGCTAACATACAAATGTATGTCCAATGTATATCCGGTGTATGTCCAATTATCATCAATGTATGTCCAATACAAATGTATTGTCCAAGATCAAGGCCCTTGGTTCGGGCCTTTGCAGTCCCCCCCAAAATATAACAGTACTTGAGGAATTACAGGGGAAATTTTAAACATTTATAGGACTGTAACAACATGCAATGTTTGACAATTGGTGAAGGAGTATGTTATTGCTTTTGTTTGTTCATTTGTCTTTTAAACTTAACATTAGTTGGAAAGATTTTTGCTTTCCTCCTTTTGTTTCTTATAGTTAAAATGGTAAAGATTCATACTTTGGAAGGGATTCATTACTTGTTGTTTCTTTCCATTGGGTCAAATCACATCCTTTACATATATATAAGTACTTAACTATAGCCATTGCTAGAATATGATTTCTTAGGATAATCCATGAGATGTAGAAGCTCAGAAAAAAAACCCAACAGGGTAGCTTAAATGAAGAGTTTATGTGAAAGTTCTTGTCATCTCTGTTTTTAAAAATTATAAAGACTGCTATTGGTCTGAGAGTTACATTTTTTTTTCTGGCTTTCTTTGTAACTTGAATTAGGATTTTCAAAAGAGGAGCTGACGTGGCTTCAGAGCCTTAGAGGAGTTCCTCATGTCATCCAGACACAGCTTTCTCCTGTGCTGCTCTACCTCACAGACTTGGATCAATTTTTACACCATTGGGAGATAGCAGAGGTATTCTGTTCATGAACCACCAATACTACTATGTATTAGAAATGCCTTTTATGAACTGTTTCGAGAGTGAGAATAGCGTAGAAAATGATTATTATTTTTGAAAGTGCTTATCCTCGATAGGAGATGCGTACTTTAAAAGAAGAGTGCTTTTTGTTATGAATTAGCAGTTTCAATGATAAGGACAAACTAATTTAGCCATAGATAGATCCCTATATTTAGAAGAGGTGGAAAGAAGAGGTTACGGAAGAAAGAATTTTACTTTGTCATTTAAGAAGTAAGACTTAAGTAAGGGTTGTTATTTTTGAAGGTGACTTTTTTTTCCTGCAGGTCTTTGGGTTTAAACTCAGGGCCTGGGCACTGCCCCTGAGCTTTTTTGTTTAAGGCTGAGACTTACCACTTGAGCCACAGTTCCACTTCAGCTTTTTTTGTGGTTAATTAAGTGGAGATATTAGTCTTGTGAGCTTTACTGCTTGGGCTGGCTTCGATCTGCTGTCCTCAGATCTCAGCCTCTTAGAAATCTGAACCTTTTAAAGCCACAATATAGCTCAGAAAGTTTTGGATTTTGGAGCATTTAAGATTACTGGTGGTCTGCAGGTAAAGTCTATTCAAATAGTCCAAAATCTGAAGGACTGAAATCTGAAAAACTTCTGGTACCAGAAAGTTTCAGTATTCAACCTGTATTAGTATTTTCTGCATCATAAGTATTTTTCTGTAGTACATTTCTTTTCTCTCAAATGGCAAAGTGGCTTGCCAATTTGTTCATATAATTTGGCTTGTATTTATGAGATAGAAATATAGTCTCCAACTTGGAAAGCTACTTGAAGGGTGGTGTGAAAGAGGAGTTGTTTCTTTTGGTTGGTCATGGGGCTTGAACTAAGGGCCTGGGAGCTATCCCTGAATTTTTCTCTTCAAAGCTAGCACTCTACCACTTGAGCCACAGCAACACCTGTGGTTTTCTCTAGTGGTTAATTGGAGATCAGAGTGTCATGGATTTTCCTGCTGGGGCTGGCTTTGAACTGCAGTCCTCAGATCTCAATCTCCTGAGTAGCTAAGATTACAGGCATGAGTCACCCCCTTCACCTGAGAGGAGTTTCTTATTCCCTTTGCTGTACCTGACACTGAATCTAGCTCAGTATTTAATTTTTCACTGTATATTTGGAGAATTTCCCTATGTATGAGGTGGTTGTTTTTTGCCAGTCCTGGGGCTTGAACTCAGGGTCTAGGCATTGTTCCTGAGCGTCATTTGCTCAAGGTTGGCACTCTACCACTTGAGCCACAGTGTGACTTGTGGCTTTTTCTGTTTATGTGGTACTGAGCAATCGAACCCAGGGCTTCATGCATATTCTACCTACCACCAAGCCACATTCCCAGCCCGTTTTTAGATTTTTTCTTGTTGCATCTTCAAAGTAATGTTTTGTTACCTTTTTCCTATTAATATGTAGAATAAGTAGGTTAAAATTTATTGAACTTGTTTCATTCTAAAATGTCATGATTTGGTTATCGGTTTTCTTTTCTGACAGGCAGTTTGTCACAGCTTACTCGTTATCAGTTCTCGACGTCAGAGCTTTGATGTCCTGCAAAATGCCATCAGTAAGCATTTGGTAAATATCTTAATTTATTTTCCTCTTAAAAAGTAAAACAGATTCATTGGTTAAGCTTAAGTTTGTCATAGCCACTGAGGGTAACTGAAATTCTAAGCTTAACAGTAACTCAGCTTTGTATTGCATGATGTGGTGGAGAGAACTGGAAAATGTTTAGTCGTTTTCCTGGTTGTTCCTACGGTGGCTTTGGGAAAAATACCTTCTTTTTCCAAGATGGTGCTTTCTATGTTTGTGCTATTGAAGGATCTTAAAATTACATACTTCAGTTCACATGTGCTTGGTTGTCGATGTATTGAGAATCCAGCAAACAGGTTGGAACTTAGATTGGCTTTAACCTGTGACTGATCTGTGTTTTGACCATTGGGTGTCTCAGGTGCCCAGTGCTATTAAATTCATATTAGGTATGCTTCCACTGTTACTTTTAATTTCTTCCATTGTTTACACTTTGATCTTTGCCTTTTTATAATGTAGTACAAGAGAGAACTTTTAAATTTTATATTACCAGGGATTTACTTGTATAAGTTCATAGGCACAACAAGTTGATGGCATTTCATACCAGAGTAATTTTAGCTACTCAGGAGGCTGAGATCTGGAGGACTGTGGTTCAAAGCCAGCCCTGGCAGAAAAAATTTTGAGACTCTCATATTCAGTTAACCAGCAGAAAGCTGGGCTGGTGACATGTAGAGCACTATCAATGAACAAGCAAGCTGAGAGAACATAAGGCCCCTAAATTCAGTCCCCATGCTGGGGTAGGGTGAGGTGTGTGTGTGTGGGCACATCTAGAACCCTCCCTCCCTTTTTTGTGTGTATTGGCCTGGGCATTGTTCCTGAGCTGTTTTTTGCTGAAGGGCCAGCACTCTACCAACTTGAGCTACTTCTTGCTTTTTGGTTGTTAATTGGAGATAATTGTCTCTCTCTCTCTCTTTTTTTTTTGTTGGTCCTGGGGCCTGAACTCTGGGCCTGGGCGCTGTCCCTCAGCTCTTCAGCTCAAGGCTGGTGTTCTACCACTGAGCCACAGCACCACTTCCAGCTTTTTCTGCTTATGTGGTGCAGAGGAATTGAACCCAGGGCCTTGTATATGCAAGGCAAGTACCCTACCACTGAGCCACCTTCCCAGCCCCTGGGGATAATTTATGTCTCACGGACTTCGTTGCCTGAGCTTGCTTTGAACCAACATTCTCAGATCTCGGCTTCTTGAGATCTAAGGTGTGAGCCACTGGCACCTGGCTAGAACCCTTTTATTCTCTTGAGTTGGAAGAAAGTACTTAGAATATATAGTACTCTTTTTCTCCTTGCTATTCAACTTTTACTTCTTAACTCCTGCATCATGAAAAATGCCCACTTTTTAAAATCTATCCAAAGACTTACATTTAATTACATTGTTTATTCTAGTAAGAGATGAACATGCCAACCAGTCTTGACTACTTGAGAAAGTTTGATGTAGGAAGTGGAGACTTTGGGATTTGCAGTCCTTTAGAATTAATCAGTAGTTTCCAGGAGATTCAGATTGTTTATGTACACTTATAAGTTAGACTTGACCTTAATGACAGCACACACAGTTCAGTCTAGATGAATGAACATACCATAATGGCCATTATCTGGCCTTCCGGTGTTTCTTGGCAGTTAGCAATGTAGTGTTAAATATAGTATCTCCTAGCAACGGGAATAGAGGAAATATTTTCCTTATTTATATCTAAATGACTATTGGAAGGTCAAAGGATGGCTAAATGTAAAATGAATTCTGTGTTTAATGACCAGGATGGAGATGGTATCTGCTATTCGTTTTCTAATCTGAATGAATAGTTTAAAAACTTTGACTGTTGGTATTAGTTTCTTCAGTTGCATGAAGTAATCCTTAAATCATGTTATTCCTGATCAATCATAGAAATTTTAATATCTGGATAGTTTAATTTTGGTAATGAAGGCAGTGGATTGAATTCAAAGTATTTCTTGGACTGGGTCTATGGCTCAGTGGAAGAACACTTACTTAGCATATGTGAGGCTGAGTTCGGTCTCCAGTGTAAAAATTAGAAAATACATTTCTTGAATTGGCATGTTTTGAAGTAATTTATTTTGGGAATTAAATTTTCATAGGAAAATAGGAATTAAAACTGTGGTGGGTGGCATGTGTTATGTATGCTGGTTTTAAGTAGAATGGCTAATATAGTTAAATCCAGTTACCAAGTTTGGAATCTTTGGGGAATAAGTACTTATGAAGAGGTAATTAATCACATTTTTCTCTCTGCTCAGGTTGGGTTGACTGTAGTACCGGACAGCACAGTTGGCTGTGTGTTTGGTGTTCTCTGTAAGCTCCTGGATCATACGTGTGCAGTTAGTGAATCGCTGCTGCCATTTTTGGCTTCTTGTTGCTACAGTCTTCTTTATTTTCTGCTTACTCTAGAGAAAGGGGAAGCAGAACACCTAAAAAAGAGGTAATAGTTTATTGTTCAACCTTATTTTTTCTTTCTGTTCTTTATAATAATAAGTAAATATATAAGAGTAGAACAGAATTGGATTCTGAAGTATTGTGAATTCTCTTTCAGAGTTTGTGTAAACCCTGTTCTAGCCTATTCCTTGTTACTTTATAAATTGTCTTTGTTACAGTGAGAATTTTGTTTTCCCTTAAACAACAAATTTGAAAAGTTAGATGGCATTATATGTCTTGAGAGCTTTCTCAGTTCTTCCCTTAAGAGATAAAATCCTTTATACATAGCTTTGGGTTTCATGAGTGCTAGTAAGAAAATGTTTGTTACCATGTTTATGTTCTTGTTGGCCTTATTTGAGATAAGGTTTTACTATATAGCATAGTACCTCAATACTAGGATTACAAACATACCATTTTACAATGCCTAGACCTATTTGTTCTTTACCTTTTAAATTATGTATTAATAAATTGTATAAAATGCTTTATTATTTAAACATTTTTTTTTGTTGTGTTTTTTGCCAGTCCTGGGGCTTGAACGCAGGGCCTGAGCACTGTCCCTAATGCTTCTTTTTGCTCAAGGCTAGCACTCTACCTCTTGAGCCACAGCGCCACTTCCGGCCTTTTCTGTTTATGTGGTGCTGAGGAATCAAACCCAGGGCCTCATGCATGGGAGGCAAGCACTCTACCACTGAGCAACCTTCCCAGCCCTATAAAATGTTGTAGAAGAGTAATTATAAGCCCAACATTCATGAAACCAATTCCCATGTTACAAATAGACTATCTTAAGTATATACATTCTTCATATATTCTTCAGTTAGTTCTCATTTACCCTGTACTTTACTCACATTTATGATGATAACTTTCTTGCCTTTTAAAAAAAAAATTGGGGGGGGGCGGGCTGGGAAGGTGGCTCAGTGGTAGAGTGCTTGCCTTGCATGCCTGAGGCCCTGATAATAGATGACTATTACTGGTTTATATATATTTATTGTACCATAACTTGTAATCACTAGTATTTTATCGCTACTTACAAAAAATTTAAATGAGCAGCCTCATACCTTTCTTTTTTTTTTTT